CACTCCATCGCACGCCGCAGCTTGGAGGACTACTCGAGGAACGCCTCATACGACAAGAACCCTTCTGTGTAGGGCTGATATATTCGTTCGCGGCCGCCCATCGCGTCAATCGATTGGCCAGCACAGCGGCAGACAATCTAACCACCACAATGCCCATCGCAGTAGGCAACCAGTTACTCAACTCTTCTCGAGAGCACTTTTTGTAAATTAGAATATTTAAGCTCTCTTTCCAATCAAATGTGTCCTATTGGAAAGCAGGAATTAAAAGGGGCCGCCGTAGATACTCCATCAGTGCACGATTTGTGCATCTTCTGTGCCAACATAGCACTTCGGACCGCTCGAGGGGCGCAACCAGGGACACGACGTTCGGTTCCGCCATATCCCGGAACCAAGGGAGGGGACCAGAAACATCCGACCGCGCGAAGATCTCCGTAAAGTGCCTTTGGAATATCTCCATGGGCAACTCACAGGAAAAGGATCCCTTCTATAGGATCTCTTCGAACGTGCGCTTCCGGTCGGTACAACCTTTGCACTCTCGCGCAGTCACCTGTCCATTCCTCTTGACTGGGAAGGGCCTCTTCAAACTGAGTACCGGGACGTTGCTCCGGTTGTGTCGTTCAGCTTGCCGACCGCCCGACACGCCGCGATTGTTGCTCACGGTCGCCTTCGCGATTGCGCGCATCACCCTCCTCGTGGGAAAAAGTCGAGCCAAATTCACGGCGACGGCTTCCAGATCTTCGATTGTCCGCGCGGCTGTCGCATCCTTCACGAGATGGATACAGGCCCGCGTGTTCTCCGCCGTCACTCTGGCGAAACAAGATTCTCCGTACACCACACCGCGGAATTCGCGCCCGCCGCGCAGTTCAGTTGGTGGAGAGTTGCGCGCCCCGACTCGTTTGCAGTCATTGGAGGGTGCACTATTCTCGCCACGCTGTCGACCACTCAATGGGGTCACCAGCGCGGGATTCACTCCGGGTACAGTTCTATCTCCGTGCTGCCATCTTCGTTGTTGTTGTTGTTGTTTTTTCTGCAGACTAGTCCTTTTCCTTTGGATCTCGTTATCTTCTGTGATAGGATGGATCATGCACAGTCCTCTTCTCTCTTATCCCGTTGCGTCGCTTGTGGAAAGGGTTGCATATGCAGGAGCACCCTCGGACGGTAGAAGAGAGCGCAGAGCTCGGCCAGAGATTCGCACGAACGCTGCACGCACCCGTGGAGCGCGGGGCGTCTGCGGGAGCAAGGTACCCTGCTGCCACTGCAGCTGTTATCGTTGCTGTTGTTGTTGCTGCTGTTGTTGCTGCTGCTGAGGCTGTCGTTGACGCCGCTGTTGCTGCTGCTTCTGTTGTAGTTGTTGCTTTTGCCGCTGCCGCTGCTAGTGTTT